CTCGGTACCGAGCGGTACATGCTCGACACTGTTAATTACTTTATTTTAATCATTTTTTAGGCTTACGCCTCGATTCGTTTCGAGGCTTACGCCTCGCCTCGCTTAGCCAAAACGCCTCGATTCCCGATTTCGCCTTTTAAAACGTTGCTTAGGATATTATGATACATTATATTTATGACTATGGTTGAACTTAATGTCATAAATGCATACATATATATACACATTAGATTGAGTGGTAGATCAAGGCCAATCGACCCAATTGATATATGCATACATATCAGTGATGTTAAAAGCCGCTCTAAATTGTGCTTTAAGGACAAAGCAAAGCGATGTGCTAGGGTTGTGCATCGCTTGCTTGCGAAGCACAAGCTCATAGCAAAGTGCGCATGGTGCACCACTTTGCTGCGTCTTGTCATAGCAAGCCCTTGGCTCTTGCTCAACGCACAATCTTTATTCAAATTCATGATTTGATTCGACATATTCCACAATAACTAGCCACAATTGTCTTTTTCTTCTCATATTTGTTGAAGTCATTGAGTCATTGTGATAGGAAGTGGATGCACTTTTCCTCGAAATCAGTGAACGGCAATAAAAAATTAGAAAGAAAAACACACCAAAACTATTTTTATTAAAAGATATGTATGAAAGAAAATAGCAAGATATAGTTGGATCTTCAATTCGAGAGGAAGATCCGGCTCTTCCAAATCCCTAGCTTATGGCTAGAGTCCAAATAACTTAAGAAATTCTAAATTCAGCAAACTCTAAACATAATACTGAAATCATCCTATTATTAGCCTTAAATAGGCTTCTATAATTTCCTCCCAAATCAGCCCTCTTTTCCTAAATAATTCTCTCTCAAATTTGAATTCAAATTAGATTTATTTTCTTAATTAATTCCCTCCCAATTATAATTAAAACTTTCCTAAATAATCCCCCTTAATTCTTCCTCCTCTTCCCTAAATAATTCCCTCTTAGATTTTGAATTCAAATTATATATCTTGCCCTAAATAATTCTTTCCCAATTATAATTAAAACATTTCTAAACAATTCCCCTTTGATTAAGAACCTTCATAAATAGTTCACTCTTAATTAGTAAACTTCCTAATTCCCTCCCAATCAAATCTGTCAGTCTATCAATACTCCTCTCCCAAAGTGTCACTTTGTCCTCAAGGTGGAACGAATAAAATTGTTGTTGAAGCACTGGACTAATAGCACTAGAGTGAAAAATGGTCTATCAATAGATCGAGTGATTCCTGCCTCCAACATCTCCTTGATCAATCTCTCCATCTCATCTTCCTGGAGTTGGGGATAATGGTACAGACGAACACTAAAATGTGAGACTTCGTCCTTCTAAAAGATAGCAAGCTTGTGTTCCCGCGTAGGAAGCAACCCATGAACTGTCTGGAACACTTCTCGATATTCCTGTAAGAGTGGCTGAACCATGTTTGGTGCTTCTATCTTCTACCCATCTTCTTTTTCTTCCAAACTCTGCAGTTCCATAAAAAATCTTACTCCACCATTTCCCCTCTTTTGAAAGTGATTCCAAAGATAGCATCTCCTCTTCTTCCCCCAAAAATTTTCACCTCTTGATTCTCCCTGATTATCCCTATACTAGGATTTCTCTCATTTTCCTTTTCTGTCAATGATGCTCTCACCTCTGATGTTGTCGGTTTGGTTTTGCCCTCAAAAAGCTTCTTTATCATCTCCTCTATGATGACAAATTTCTCATCGATCTTCTCATGGATAGTAGAAAATAGCTTTTCGAATCCTGAAATCTTTACAAAATAAGATTTTAATTGTCTGATCTCCCCTTCCAACATTTCAATCTTTCTTCCCTCCATCGGTATCCGGATCATGCTCTAATACCAATTTGATAGGAAACACTTGTAGATCTCAAGTATTTCTTATCAATCTTCGAGAAAACTCTTCCAAACTCCAATGAAAATTAGGGAAAATAGTAGATTTTATTGCAAAAATCAACTAACGGAAGAAAAATAACAAGATACAATTGATCCTCAATTCAAGAGGAGGATCGATCTCTCCCAAATCTCTAAACACGACTAGAGCTCAAAGAAAACCTAATGGATCTCAAATTTTAGCCAAATTCAAGATAATACCGAAATCATCCTATATTAGCCTTAAATAGGCTTTCATAATTCCCTCCCAAATCAGCCCCCTTTTTCTAAGTAATTCTCTCTCAAATTTGAATTCAAATTAGATTTATTTTCCTAATTAATTCCATCCCAATTATAATTAAAACTTTCCTAAATAATCCCCCTTAATTCCTCTTCCTTTTCCCTAAATAGTTCCCTCTTAGATTTTGAATTCAAATTAAATCTCTTACCCTAAATAACCCAATTGTAATTAAAACATTCCTAAACAATTCCCCTTTGATTAAGAACCTTCCTAAATAGTTCACTCTTAATTAGGAAATTTCTTAATTCCCTTCCAATCAAATCGGTTGGTCTATCACATTGCTCATTAGTTATTACTTGCTTGAGTTAGTTGCTTCTTGGTGGTTCTTCTCTTCACACTCGCTCCCCCGGTAGGTCTTATATGATTTTCACTAGTTATTGTTGTTGGTTCTTATAGCTTCTCACCCACAAGTTCTTCTCAAGAATTCTTCTAGATATCTCATCTTGACACTCTCTTTCACTTCACATTATTTTCTTCTCTGGGTCTTTGGCTGGCACTAAATCTCACAAGTATATGTTTGACTTTTTAGGTTTTCTTATATCACTTCATTATTTATGTTATTTATATATTTGATTATTTTTGGATTTCAAACAATTATAAATTATTATTATTGAACAAATCCTTATATTTTCTAAAAATTTATTTCTTTTGATGGTTTAAGTTTGGTTAATTAAATAACTGTCTTACATATGAATAAGAGGAGAGGGTAAATAATATGAAATTGCTTTAATTGTAAGAATGCAACACCTTTGATGGAGCTCTACTGGCTTTGCTTGATGTTCTCTATTGTGCTTTTCACTCGTTTTTTTTTTAAAGTGTTGCTGCTGGGTTTATTTGATTAATAGCTTAGCCTGTTGAACTAATGTGTTGTTTTTTGTGGGATTCTTTATTTTTGGCAACAATATATATACAGTTCTTTGTTTGTGCTTGGATCATCTTTATACCTTGTTTAGGTAAAAATACATCATTTGCTTCTCAAATCAAAATTTCGGACATCAAGGAAAGAGGAAGCGGACCTTTTCTTTGTACCTTCTTATGTTAAATGTGTGCGTATGAATGGTGGATTAAATGATAAGGAAATCAACCACACATATGTAAAGGTAAAGATTATTTTCAAATTTTAGTATTTTCAAGAAGTCTTAATGATAGAAAACAACGATCCCTATATATTTGTTGATTCCTGTAAATGTTCTGGCTTTGAAAAATTTTAAGGATTTTGCTTTCATTTTGTAAAATCAGGTTTTGGGTCAAATGCCATATTTCCGTCTTTCAGGTGGACGGGATCATGTTTTTGTGTTCCCGAGGTAACTTCTTCACCTTCACAGGCTTCAGAAACCATGTTGGCCTTCAACTTGAGCATATTCTGGCATTTTTATTTGGAAATTATGTTGTTATGATTTTCTTTCATTATCACATCACACTTCTTCAAGAATGATCTCTTTCAATAAATGCAGCGGCGCTGGTGCTCATTTATTTCGCTCTTGGGCAGTATTTCTAAATCGGTCAATCATTCTTACTCCAGAGGTAGCCATGGATTCATTTTTGTTATGTTGCTTACTATGATATAAATGAAGGGACAATAAGCTAGGCGCATTAAATTTAGGTTTACTTATATCTGCAATTATTTTCCTTCAAATGCTTACAAAGGATATATTTTCATCAGAAAATAAGTATGCATATAGATGTACCGTGTTATGTTGCGCGCTTGTTGAACTTAGCGGCCATTGATCATACAAATTGTTTTCCTTGGATATGGATCACATGGACACACTTTCTTCTTGTTTTTTTCTCATAGTTTGGTTGCATTAGGTTTTTTTCTGGTGTTCCGCTTGTTATATTGCTGTAAGAATGACAGCATCATATGTTCAAGTTAAACAATAGAATAAATGAAATTCCCAAACTACGGGCCCAATACTGGAGGGGACTAGGAAGAAATATGACTTCTTAATATATTTACTTTTATAGGTAAATAGTAATTCTGTAAAAATGTCATTCCTCTTTTATCGTACGTCATCTTGCGGGAAAGAAAGAATTTGTAAATTCTTGTATAAATATTCAGCTGATGCAATGAAGGGCAAGAAAAGGTGATTGCTTATTGTTTTGTGTAAAAAGCTATTATGTGCATCTTTGTTTCTTATGAAATGCTTTATGTTTGAATATGAATCAGAGGTCAGGTTATCATGGCTTGGCTCTATGCAAACATGACAACCCAAATGGAGTATATTTTTTGTTCAAACTCATTTAGTTTTTTTGGTTAATTTTTTATCAAGCTCAACCTGAATTTGTATATGAATTGAGCTTTTAAGTTCAGTTCAAACATTTTATTTATTTATTTATTTATTATTGAGATTAAACTGAAGTCAAAGATCAAATCAAACATTACTAATGTTGGTGAGATCGTAATGACTCATGACTCATTTATGTTTTATGTACTTTAAATGTCTGAACTATAAATAAGATATTGATTGCCATATTGAATTTCATAGAAATGAAAATGTTAAGATGGATGTATGACAAAACTTAAAATGATAATGTCTGAACTTTGCTGCTTTCTTTCTGCTTCTTAAAACAGTTTTCTAGTGTAAAAATTTTAATTTTTGTACTAGAAAGCTGCTTTATGAAGCAGTAAGAAAGCCGTCCCAAACGAAACTTTAATGTTTTGTTCTAATGGAAAAAAGTGTGATAAAACCACTTATTAAAATTTTTACCTAATTATACAGGGTGACCGCACTGATAAACGGCCAATAAGTTCTTTTCATACGTGGAAAGATATAATCATCCCTGGTAATGTTGATGATGGACTAACTACGTTCTATGAATCACGAATAGTCCAACCAATCCCCTTGTCAAAGAGGAAGTACCTGGCAAACTTTTTAGGTCGTGCCCAAGGAAAGGTGGGTCGTCTTCAGTTATTGGAGCTTGCCAAGCAATACCCAGATAAGGTAGCTTTCATCATCTTATGATATTAATTTTTTGGTCCAAACTATTGCTTGTATTTTCCCAAAAACTTATTTTAAATTGATTTTCAAATCAATGTTGTTGAAATTCTTATACTTGTTTATCTTCTTTATAATATTGATCATTCATGCACAATATGCTTCCTTTCCTTTTTCATTAGTTCTATGTTGATAAATTTATTTTTGATTCTCTTTTGCAATCTTACTTTCTTTATGAGCAGATAGCATGCATAATGATTTTCTGAACAGTTAGAATCTCCAGAATTGCAACTAACGGGACCTAATAAGTTGGGAAGGGTTGAATATTTCACTCACTTGAGGAACGCCAAGTTTTGCCTTTCCCCACGAGGCGAGTCATCTTGGACACTCCGATTTTATGAATCATTCTTTGTGGTATGCCACCTATTCATCCTTCTCTCTCCATCAGCATTTTTTTGTACATTAGAAACAAGCCTACGAAAATTTAGTTCAGCTTGGGCGGACTATCGGTTTAGTGTAATTCTAGAATTTCCAGGCAGTGTTTTTTTTTCCTCATTTCCCGCTAGTGGTGTAAGTGAGCCGAGCCGGATCATGAGCCGGCTCTAGTTTGACTTATTCATGGGCTCGCGAACTGAGCTTATCGAGCTCACAATTCGAGTTCGATCAGAATTTTGAGCTCGACTTGTTAACGAGCTCGAGTTCAATCCTCTTAATGTTCAGCTTGGTAACTCATGAGCCGGCTCGATTACATGGGATACGGATGCAGATGTTGGAGGTCGGACGCGGACGCGGGCGTAACCACGTCGAAAAATCTATTTGCATTTAAATAAACCTTTTTTGTTTTTGCCTAGATATATCTATTTGCATTTTAAATTAAATCTTGAAAAGTTTTATAATTATATACAAAGTTTGATATTGCACAAGTGGATATTTAGGCATATTTTTTTGCGAAGCAAGACGTATGCCTCGAAGCATTTTAAGGAATAAGCTCTATAAGTAATCATTAAATTAATAAAAAATATAAATAATAACACACAAACATGAAAGTAAGATGTCAAAATAAGAGTACACGAATTTAGAGACTTTTCGAGGCTTATGCCTTTTTAAAATTACACTGAGGTGCACTTCTAATTGTTCAATTTTAAATCATGATTATATAAAAATTCATTTAATTCAAGTTATCTAACAATAGAATGGAAACAATTTAAAGTATGTAATCATTGTTTTATTTATCATTGCAAAAAAAAAAAAAGGTTTTTAGCATGTTTAAAATTTAAATCATGAACTAATATGTTGGAGGGAGAGAAATATTTAACTTTTAATTATGCAACATATAAATTTATGATAAATTATTTGATTTTTAATTTTATACTTTCTGAAAAAGACTATAACTAGAAAAATGTTTATATTCTCGTCCTTGTTCTCTATATTTACATATTTATTTTAAAAATTTGGATCTTCCATACATTTACTTCTGTATGTACTTCATATATAATTTTGTGAGAAACTTTATCTATTGTAGTTTGTTTCATGCAGGAATGTGTTCCTGTTATCCTCTCAGATCAGATAGAACTTCCGTTCCAGAATGTGATTGATTATACTCTGATATCCATCAAATGGCCATCAACACAAATTGGTCCTCAGCTGCTAAAATATCTGGAATCCATTCCTGGTAAGTTAACCTTTAGGCTTCATTTGGGACGGCTTTCGTCCTGCTTCTTAAAGCGGCTTTCTAGTTAAAAAGTTAAAATTTTTACTAGAAAGCCACTTTAAGAAACAGTAAGAAAGCCGTCCCAAACGAAGCCTTAATTTCATGGATTTTAATTTCTTTAAGGCATTTTACCACTTTAGGTTTTTTTTTTGGCCTCAGATGAGGCGATTGAGAGCATGATCGCTGGAGGCAGAGAAGTGAGATGCCTTTGGGTTTATCTTCCAGAATCAGAGCCCTGCTCTGCAATGCTGGGAATTTTATGGGAGCTGCAGAGAAAGGTTAGGAGATTCCATCAGTCTGTAGAAACCTTTTGGCTACATAATCAATCCATTGTTAATAGGGAGTTTGTTGAGTTCCATGGCTGGAGAACTCCTCTTCCTTTGCCCTGAATTGGCCTTTCATCTAGGAGGAACAATACAAGTCAGTTTTTTCATCTTGTTCTGTTTATTTATTTTTTTCCTTTTCACTGTTGGAAGATTCATATAAGCACATAGTTTTTTTTTTCAGTTCATGCACTGTAGAGTGGACACGTGTCTCCTGTACTATTTTTTGATATTATTATTATGATGATCAAGAATAAAAAAAAGAGTTTCTTTCCCTTTTTTATAAATGAAATTGAGGAAATCTACATTCCAAATAATTTCTGATGAAGGCTTCGTTTGAGATGATTTTCTTATTATTTTTTAAAGTAATTTTTCAATATTTTTAATTTTTGTACTAAAAAGTTATTTTAAGAAGCAACAAGAAAGCTATTCCAAGCGAAACCGAAGCTAATCAAACATGGAGATCCTTTGAGCATATTTGTACATAAGTTGAAAAAATTATCTGAAATCTAAAAGCAAAGTTGATAATTTTTTGAAGTAGACAACAACTAAAAGAAAAAAAAGTCTTACAAAGGAAATAGATGAAAAGTTCTTCATTTCTTTTATATTTTTTTGTTGTCAACTATGACTACGTATGTATGCTTAAAAAAAAAAAGTGTGTACCTATCCATTAGAAATGCAATGCTAGGGAAGCTTTTGATACTGATATATTGTCATAATGCCAATGTTAGGTAGACAATAGGGGAAAAAAATCTATTTTCTTTTACTTCTTATTGTCCACTATAACTATGATTAGAAAAATAAAAATAAATGTGTTTAAAAAATAAAAATAAATGTGTGTATCTATCCAAAAAGCTCCAAACAAAGTCCATTATTGAAAATATCACAATATATTGTTACTATACTAACAACAACAACATCATGCCTTCAACCCACTACATCAAATCGGCTACATGACTCTTTTTTTTCTATTTTGTCCTATTAAGTGTCAAATTCTCATTTAAATCTAATATAAAAAAAAGTCTTTTTTATTACTTTCTCACAAAGTTTTTATAGATCTATCTTTACCTTTCTTAATATGCCACATCTAATACATCTACTCTCTTAACGGGATCATCAAAAAGCAGACGTTTTACATGACTATATCTTGTTATTATAACATATGAAATAAAATCATCATACTTATTCACATATTTTTATGCTCATTAATCATAAAAAATGCACACTTAGGTTCAAAATCAAGTAAAATAATTGAAATTTTCTACTATACAAAATCTAAGACCTATCTATTAAAAGTTCATAAGAAGCAAATACTTTTATAAAAAAAGGACATATGCACTTAATATTCTACATCCTTCAACAAGTTATTCATCATATTAACCAAAGGAATAGTTCCCTTGGCCATTATTTCCAACCTACATGTATTAGAAGCATTCCCAAACAGCGAGAACCCAAACCTCACCAGCTCCGGCAGAAACAGCCTAGAAGACAAGAAGCCATGCCAGTACCTCGCCTCCAGGCCGAAGAAAGCATCAAAGAACCTCCTTGTGCCCTCCAGATCCAGCCTCAGAAGCACATCCATGCCGAAGCAGAAGAACTCCCTCTGTCTCCTCCTCTCGATTGGCCACAGATCCTTCCAAACCTTGGCCGAAACCTCCTCCCCGCTGCCCCCAAGGTATCGAACAATGGCATCCGCAACGATCGGAGCGGCGGCGAGCGTTCTCGCCACCATGTACCCTGTGGAAGGATGAACCATCCCCGCCGTTCCTCCGATTCCTAGAACCCTCTGAGGAAGCACGGGGAGAGGGCCGCCCATGGGTATCACGCACCTTTCGTCTTCCTCGATGCGCTTAATCTGTATGCCTAAATGCCTCAACCGCTCAACCATTCTTTCTTGTATGTCTTCAATGGCTAGCCCCGGACGAGCCACCAGAGAGGTCTCTTCGAGGAAGATTCGATTGGAGGAGAAGGGCATCGCGTAGAGGAAAGTGGGTGATGCGGCGTTCCGTCGCTTGAGTTCAGGACGGAGCTTCAGATGCGAGTCTCGCCAATCCATGAAAACCATCTGGTCTAATTCGAAAGGGTGTTCTTCAACCTCGGCTAAGATGCCGTAGGCGACCTGGTAACCGGGGTTATAGGGCTTATCGTAGCGGATAAGACAGCGTGAGAAGCCGGTGGCGTCAAGGACGACGGAGGCCGGGATGGCAGTGCCGTCGCTGCAGAAAAGGATGGATCGGGAGTCTTCGTGGACGACGTTGAGGACTTTGGATTGGTGGAAGCGGACGCCATTGGAGAGGCAGGCGAGGAGCATGCGGGATTTGAGGCGGCGGCGGTCCACTCGGGCGTAGGGACGGGAGAGGAGTTTGGAGGTGGCGTCGTTGATGAAAACGGAGGCGGAAGACCAGGAGGCGTCGAGGCAGTCGAGGAGGTCCATCGCGGCGAACTCGTCAACCCAGACGCCGTAGTTGTTTGGCCAGACGAGATTGGGGAAGGGGTCAATTGAGCAGACGGAGAGGCCGGCCTCGGAGACGCGTTTGGCGACGGCGAGGCCGGCAGGGCCGCCGCCGACTACGACGAGGTCTAGGGTGGGGCGATTGGTGGCGTCGTACCGGGGAAGGTCGAAATTGAGGGTTTCTTTCTTGGCTTCAGGGACTAGTTCAAGAAAGGCCCCGGCGGCGGCGGAGGCTGAGGTGCTGGACAGGGAAAGGGCGGTTCTGGACCATCGGGGATGTGGGGTTTTCTTGAGGAAAGGAATAAAGGCGGGAACTTGGGGCTTTGGGGAAGGGGAGGGGGCGAGGAGAGGGGGAAGGGGAAGGAGATCGTTGTGTGTTCGGAGAAGGGTATCCATGGAGAAGCTGTGGAAGGAAGATTGAAAGATCTGAGAAGCTGAGAAAGAATCAGATTCAGCTGGTTTGAGGGAGATTGGAAGATGGAAGCTAAATGAGGAGAAGGCTTTCCATAGAAGGTAAGAGTGTGGAAGGCACCATGCTGGAAGAGAAGAACTAGTGGACCTGTTTCTTTTTGGCTGGGTGGATATAATTGGCCGCAAATGCTAGGGCGGGGTGATTAAAGGGATGGAAAGCTTTCATGCCCACGACATGGCCGCAAATGCTTGAGTTTTACTGCTAAGTCGGCACTTGAAGTCGCACCGATGTTGTACCCGATAAGGGATGAATTTTATAAAGGGTCACGTTAATAATAGCAATTAGCAAGATAGTATATTTATTAAAATTTTCAAAAAGGAGTCAATTTATCAAAATAGTTAGCATATTATGCGCCAAACTTTTTGGCGCAGTTTAAATGTCTGAATGTAGGGCTGCAAGCGAACCAAACGTTCGACGAGCTACTCGTTGTTCGGTTCGATTAAAGTTCGTTTGTGATCATTTAATTAGCTGAACAAACAAACTTGAACATGCGTTCGGCTCATTTATGTTCGTGAACAACATCATTTGATGTTCATGAACAAGCTCGACATTAAACTCGATAAAAGGTTGATTCATGTTCGATTTTGAACTCGTGAATAAGCTAGATAAAAATAATTAATATTTGACTATAAAATTAATAAATATAAATAATAACTTTCTTTGTTACATTGACAATTGCTTTTATTACAAATGTGTTTGTTTATAGATATGCTCATGAACGTATTTGTTTAATAGTTAAAAAAATTTGTTAAATATGTTCGCGAACAAGCTCGATAAGCACTAAACGAACATGAACTGAACATGAACCAAACATGAACACTCATTAATTTAAATGAACCAAACATGAACATAAACAATAAAGCTCGAACAAATATGAACCAAACTTGAACAAGCTGATATTAAATGAACACAAACATGAACACTCACATACTCGGCTCGGCTCGGTTCGTTTGCAGCCCTAA